GCCCCTTTGCTGTACAGTGTTCCTACCCATTTCCGAGAAGCAATGATAATACTGCGATTCAATGGGATTCCTATCGGCTTTGCCGGTTTCGTATGTTCGTTGGTCGCAAAGAAGACATCGGACACTACTAGACAGGGTTGCACTGTCATTGGCACCATGCCATCAATCCCTCTTTCTCACTGACGCCACTACAGGTCCCATTTGTGCGCGTATTACGCTAAATTCCTAAATAGCATGATGATGTGAAAAGGAGCCGTCGATCCGCCACCTGAATGCGCCACCTAGACGGTCGCCAGGACGGTCATCAATCGAAATTACTCAAGGCAACGCAGAGATTTTCTGTCCATTCGAATGCCCTCTTGGACTGTATCCCCGGGGTCGCACCAGCCTTCCTGAATACTATACGAATACTAATACCTCTCATACTGAACTACAGATAAACTCTTCTTCCCCCAGCAGTTCGACCATCCTCCAAGATATTGGATTGCTCATGTGAGACCCGTCCCAGCCGCTCGAACGTGGTTCAGCATCGCCGCGCGGCGGAGTTCGCGATCTGTGATAGTCGACACTGATCATGATAATGTGTCAGCCTCCCCTCTAACCCCAATTTCGACGCTTGGAATTTTTTCCACATATCGTACGCAACTTCGAAACTCTGGATAAAACATTTAAGGCCGCTCGTCAAGCATCGTGCCTGAGAGGTCCTCAATGGTTGATGCAGCGTATCCGATCACACAGATGTTACTGCCCGGTGGGATGCCGTCAGCGACTAGGAGTTGGCAATTATAATCCCGTCTGTCAGGTGGTTCTGCTAACCCGATCCAAGCATACTCTGTCAGTGATACGGACATCAATTTCGAACCTTGTACTGACGTAGTATATCTTCGGTGCATGTTCATGAGTGGCTTTGCATAGCTCTCGGACATCTTGTGTAAGGCACGCAGCGACCTTGGGCTATCCAGTGTGCTACTTAGTACATTGTAGGGCCCGCGAGAGGTATATCAGGGGTAATATTGGTCCTTTAATCAACGGCCTGGCATCGCTAACCCCTAGATTAGGTGTCTTAGAACTTGTAGGTTCTGTTTTTACACAACGAAAAGTAAATCCTTCTCGAACCCAGATAGTGGCATGGAGGGCTTTTTCTTAATGCGATCCAGCTCCTAGGTATTGCCAATCATGGAAAGCTGTGAACTGTATTTGTGCCACTCACAAAGGGTAAATTCTCCGTATCCTACACTTGCCTAGTTGCATGGACCCGTGCACCACGTCAGATACCATTCCATATTCCATATTCATATACTAGATATCGATTCCTTTCTCTCCTTCCATTTCTTCGTTCTGTTTTATTGCTTTTCTAAATTCTATGGACACCTTTTTCTTTTTTTTTTTTTTTTTTTTTTCCCTCTACTTTTCCCTCTTGCCTCTTCCATTTTGTTTACGAGCAATCCTCTCCCCAGACTGTTAAGTTCTGTATGACGACGTCTTAACAAGGACCGGTGGACTTCACTAGGAAAGTAGGAAATTATATTGACAGTGGGCAGGAGCGCCGCGTTGGTTATGTATCTATTCGTGTTGATTCTTCATATGCTATCAACCTGTTGAGTAAATACACTAGCAGCACTCCAAACTATTCTATCAAGAAACTCTGTAGAGTGGACTGATTACTATTCCGGCAACATAATTTTCACCTCCGATAGTTCGAGGCAGTAGGTAAACTCAATATATATATCTGCAAGGGAACAGACACGTGATGCCATGGTACAACCAGCGTTGTCCTACAGAGAAGCAACCCAAATACACAAGTACAGCTGAGGAAGACAGGGAGTAAGTACATAAAGAACGTTTTCATTTTCCTTGAATTAGATTAACAAGGACATAGAACAAAAGTATCAACATAAGGATTTGCCAAGACAGCCTCCCGCCCGGACCAGACTTATCGGTGATCGCGCCGAAGCATCACAGCATATCTTCAGGTCGAGAGATAGCCTCACCGATATGCGGAATTATCCGTCAATTGCCGCGTCAGAGAGACAAAAAGGCACGTGAGAGAGACTTGTCCGCAAGAAAGGCCGAATTTCAGGCCGCAAACAAGGCGAGACTAGCCCTGGCAACCCCGCACGCTCTGGCCCCCTGAGATTGGTCAATGTCACCTTATCCCGGCGATCTTGCTCGAATCTGGCCGAAAGCCCACTTGGAATCCGGGGTAGTTGGGGTATTGCCCTTCCTCAACAACTCGCGTTTAGTTCCCTTGCAGTTAATTTGAATTGATATTGTCGTGACAAAGTCATGATATGTGAGATGCCAGCCGCTGTCCTTTCCATTCGCATCCTATTCCGGTGTTCTTCGCTCAACATGACATACCTCACCAAGCAAGGGACAATATCTCTCGCTGAACTTGGCACAAGCGCCACAGCTGAACGATACTACGCAAAGCTTGGCTCACGAGGGGTGACCCCACGTTCCGAGGGCAAGGTTGGGGACGCGGGCTAGCTTGAGAGATAGTTAGTTACGAATGTTGTGTTTATAAGCAGGTTGGGACCCTTTGTGTTCCCGCACGATTGCTCCGCTAATTTGAGTTCCTGCTGTCCGACAGATTTCCTTACCTCTCCTTTCAATATGCATAGTCAACCTTCGTCAGACCAGGAGAAGCCGTCGAGCTCCGCCGTGGAAAATGTAGCCGAAAGCTCCCTGGAAGTTGTGGACGAAAAACGGCTACATGATGAGGCACTGCCCGCGTATAGTGTCGAGATGGAGAATCGAATCCTCCACAAGATGGATCTTCGTATCATTCCAATGCTGGCCGTGCTGTATCTGCTCGCCTTCCTGGATCGGGGGAATATTGGCAATGCCAAAATCGAGGGATTGCTGGACGATTTGAATATAACGGGGCCGCAGTACAATTGGTGTTGTATGCACTTCCTCCCTACTCATCTAATGAAGCATGAGGAGCTGACTATCGGTCTCTACAGTGACGGTGTTCTTTTTCACCTACTGTGCATTTGAGCTACCCAGTAACCTGTTGCTGAAGAAAATGAGGCCGTCAAGGTGGTTACCGTTACTCATGGTCGCGTGGGGTATTGTTATGGTATGCCATCGACATTTGTCGTAGCCAAGGTAAAATGGCTGACAGGCTCTGTACTAGACATTGATGGGTGTTGTTCACAATTACGCAGGACTATTGTCCACGCGCATTTTCTTGGGTGTTGCCGGTGAGTCACATAGCCATGTGATGCTACAGCTTATGTTTCCGCTTGGACTGACGATGCCAATTTACTAGAGGCTGGTCTTTATCCCGGAGTTGCATACTACATCACCCTGTGGTACCCTCGACACCGGGCTCAGTACCGACAGGCTTTGTTTTTTAGTGCTGCCAGTATTGCCGGTGCATTCTCAGGACTTCTAGCATACGGAATTGCAGTAGGTACTGTTTCAATCTCAATGATAGAGTTCTAGTAACATATCTTATAGAAAATGGACGGAGTTGGGGGCTACGCCGGCTGGCGCTGGATTTTCATTTTGGAAGGCCTGCTCACTGTATTAGTAGCATGCATCGCTCCGTTCGCCATCCATGACTCTCCCGAAACCGCCAAATTCCTTACAGAAGAAGAACGAACATTCGTGCTTCACATGCTGCGTACTCACAACACAGGAGGAACGTCGGAAGCTACCGAATTTCGCATGAAATATGTAGTTGACGCCCTCCTCGACTGGCAGATTTACGTGTCCATAATTGGTACGTTTTCTTCCCCCAATTGCTCTATGAATGCTGATCAAGTAGTGTACTGGGGTATTACCTGTCCTCTCTACGGTATCTCGCTTTTCCTCCCCTCCATCATCAAGGATCTCGGATATACATCGTCGACAGCCCAATTGCTCACAGTCCCAATCTACATCACGGCGGCTGTAGTCGCCGTCATCGCCGCTTGGCTATCGGATCGCCGAAAGCAACGATCGCCATTTGTTCTCTTCTTCATGGGTCTCATCGCCGCCGGATTTATTATTGTGCTTGCCTCAACCGGAAGAGGTGTGCCGGGCGTGGTGTACTTTGGTGTATTCGTGTCGGTTATTGGTATGTTTATCATTCATTTCCCACGCGTTGAATGTAAGAGTCTGACAGAGACAGGTATCTATCCCGCCTTTCCAGGAAACATCACCTGGCTCAGTGCCAACCTCGCCGGCGACTACAAGCGCGCCTCCGGAATGGCCATTCAAATTGGTCTGGGTAATCTGGCTGGTGGTAAGTCATTCTTTTCTTTGCCAAAATTATTCTCATTCCGGGTAAATGTGGCGCTAACTCATTTAGCGATGGCATCAAATTTCTACCGCTCGCAAGACGCACCAAACTATATCCTCGGACATTCCCTGGAACTGGGCTTTTGTGTCGCTGGCATGATCGCCGCGGTTATGCTTCGTCTATCATATAAAACGATTAACCGGAAACGAGATCAGATGGATGTGTCAGGGCAGGACGAGTCTGAGATGGAGAAGATGGGGGATCGGTCGCCGATGTTTCGATATATGCTATAGAGGACGGAATTTCCTAGTTAGGTTGGGTAGCATTGGTGGACTGCTTGGAGTACGGTTAGGAGACTGCTCATGTTGAACCTCCATAACTACGAAGCTTAATCTTGACCAGTCATAAATATAGAGATACGAAGCTTCATATATCTGACAATGTTCTGGTGCAGTAGAGACCCGGATCACGCAATGGCCATCTTGGCCACAGCCAGACGTGACTGTTGTAGCCGGACAACTTTCCCGTTCAAAATCGCCTGTTTGGCCGTCTCTTGGATAGGATGTGGTATATAGAGAACTATATAGTAGACAGAGAAGACATAATTCAATCAATCCAATCGAGAGTGAATAAACGTGAACATTATGGACAGTGACTCCCTGAGCTGCAGTAGTGGTCAGCCTTCCCTGAGTTCATGGTTATCCGGATACGCATGGTCCCATGTTAATCTTGCCCGTGGGTCTGCGGTTAGCCATATTCTCCGCGGCTAGAAGCGTCCGTGATCTTTGGGCGTAGGAGCATCGACATCAGTAAGGTCAACAGTGCTCAGTACGCGGTCACCCTCTAGAGTGACCTGCTGTTTTGCCACCACATATATGTCGACCAGAGCGCCCCTTGCCGTCGGCAGCTCATGGTAAGTATAGCGCTCAGTGCGGACGGTTGCGCCTTGCTCGGTGCCAGCCGGCACGACCGTTTCTTCCTTGAGGTAGCGCTGGAAGCCGTGGGGATCCGCAGGGCAGTCCGGTCTCTCCCCTTCCGGTGGGTAGTAGGTCCGCTTGACTATGACTTGATTAGGCTGAATCTCCTGGGTCAGGTTGCCCCATTCGTCGAAACTGGTCCTGGTTGTCTCCCTGCGCTCTGAACGGGACTGTGTATTTGAATAAGCGATTTCGACAACGCTCGGCAGTTGGCATTGCGGAGGCTGGCCGCTGAATTCAATGTAGGGTATGGCATGGTAGGCGGTAGCGCGTGTTGTTTTCTGAACCTCCTGCTGCCGTTCAGTTCTAACCAGAAGATGGAAATTGTCATAGTCATTCACGGTTGTAGCCCCGTCTTCAACCCGCGCAGTCGACGTATACTGGTACCCCGCCGGCACTTGATACAGGTTGTCGCCGTCGGGCGTCCAGTCCCGGCCGCCATCGTAACCAAGGAAGTTCTTCGCAGAATAGGTATACGATGTCCTGATGGCGGGCTGTTGATGGTCCGGCTGCAGCTCATGTGAAGTGACATAGGGGATTGTCTCGTACGGTGCTCCATTGGGCAGGCGATGGCCATCTGGTCTGTAATATACGCTCTCAACTGACCCGAGAGGGGTAGTCAGTTGTGTTAGCAAGAGCCACCGACTATCAACTTTCTTGTAGGAGAATTCCCATGGCGACATGTTCTCCCCGGGCGACTGGACTTGTGCCAATTGACCATTCTTTTGGACAAGAGTGAAGACATTCTCATCGGGGGTACCGGGCTGTCGAACGACACGCACCTGGCCATCTCCGTACTGGACTTCGACCAGAACCTCGGCTCCGTCTTGGATCTTGCTGAGCCTGGGCTCGGAGCCTGATGGAGTCCAGGTGAGGGCAATCGCCCGGCCATTGGAAGCGTAGACGGTGATCGGAACAGACCTGTTATAGAGACCATTGCCGTTTGATAGCACCTCTGTCTGGCCGGTTTTATACACAACGTGATATTCAGACCCCAGCTTGGTCGCCTGGAAGCTTTGAAGCTTTTGATCAACAACGATAAACCGGTCATTTATCTCGGTGGCCTTGAAGCTCTCTCCGGTGGAGAGCACTAACGTCTTCGTATCTGGGTCATAAAAAGGGAGATGAAAGGCCCAGCCAGTTCCCAGGCCAGAGTCCACTGTGTTCAGGGGATTATAGAACAGCGACAACTTGAATGAGGGCAAGTCCCGCGAGTGACTTGGTGTCTCATACAGATCCACGCTGAACGTGTATAGCCCCGTGCGCGGATCGACGCCGCTTTCTAGGAACGAGCCGAAGTTGAAGGCTTGGGAATAGATGGAGCTCTGACCGGTAGACATTGTTTTTTGTTTTTGAGTTTTGGGGTTTCGAGAAAGATAGAGTAGAGGAATAGAGAGAAACCGGGGCCTTGTCCAAGCGAGGCGAGAAAATGTTCCGACGGGGGGACAATGGGCAGGGGTAACAAGATACAAATACGAACTACCATGCTATATCTGTTGCAATATGGAAGGCCTGCACACGGTCTGACCGTGAGAATATCTACCTACTACTCCACGAGCTTGCATGACATACCGCTCTAGACAGTGTGCCATGTTGGTGCCCAACTCCCGGTCAGTCCGGTGGACCTATCACGGCATTCGAGCGATAGTCTCGGTTTCCCAGTTGCCACAGAAGATCGGCGGGGTGCATTTCGACAACACTGAAGCTTATGCAAGATTTCTTTTCTGAGGTAGCAATGCAGATTCAGATAGTTTATCAGCATACACCGATCACCTCCACGGTAGTACTGGATATCGTGGTAAACCACTTCTAGCTTAGATAGATATCGATCTACGTATTTAAATACCAGTTAGCTCCTAATAGCCCCGCAGCACTGCCTTTACGATACGTTATTTATGCACCTCTCTTCACGTCTTCAGCTATCCATGTGACAGCTGAACCAGGAATACGCAGAGCACTGCAAAGCTAAACTGGGAACACAGTTTCTTCTGTCATCAGGATACGCGAGCATCCTGATAGCTCTCCCATGAGCCACGACATGCGCGCTAAAGCTCTACGAAGTGCACTCTTTGCAGGGGGTACACCCCGACTATGTTATAGACATAAAATTCGGTTACTTCTATCTGGACATAGTAGCGATGAGCTGTCGCTTGGATATACTAAAGACAGGCTAGTGAGAACTGCAGCTGTATGATGAGCTGGCACTTCCGCCATGGCCGATCATGTCAACAAGTCATTAGAGCGGTTTTGGCAACCTATGAAATCCGCCCCGAACAGATTCAGAAATTAACGCTCGGTTTAGGGTTCAGGTTCAAGGCCTAGATCCCGCGCCGGGGAACGCAATGGGTTGGGTTGGGTTGAATAAAATTGTAAAACCCACCTGCCCACTTTGAGCGATAGTTTAAATTTTAAAGGACATTAACGTATTTCTATTTTAGTTGGAAACATTGTCACTTCTGAAACTCTACAAATTAATTCAGACTTTCAATATATTAGGTAGATTTCGATTGAATATAGAATCGTCACCGACATGGCGGTGTACCAGGATTACTCGACGGGACTATAAATCCCTCCAGCGACTGCCGTGATGGCTCGGTTAAACCTCTTGAAAACCAGCCCTAATAAAGAATATAGTTTCTAGACTACCTTTCACTCCACAAGCAAACTCCAACAGACTGTGTCTGTACTTCCGGAAAATCGTACCCCGTGTGAAGTGGAACTCTGGGAAATACCGATATCACTCAGATATTGCATGAGACGCTGTTAATCTAATAAGGGGTGAAGCTAAGTTTACAATATAAAGCCATATAGGAAAGGTTATACTAGAAGACAGATCTAAGGAAGCCTCTACTTACTCGATATGATATCGGATAGCAATAACGTATTATCTTAGTACCGTATACTCTATCCATCTCGGTGGTTGTGATTCACACTGATAAAGTGAAGGGTCATGATTACCGACATTATTTCGAAGAGGCTTCATGAGAAGTCTCAAATCAGGATGGTCAGGACTTCGGAAGGAAGGTCAAGTATGAATCGCACATCCCAAGGCAACAAAATAGACACCTTTCGATGGTTGGCAATACCATGCCATTCACTTCCCTGCCGATCATTACAAAATGTACACTCCTTGGAGCAGCAGCGATACGCAAGGAAGATCACTATAACGTTAGATAGGGAAGCATTTGTTGATATGTTCACTGAGCAAAGTCGTGATATTAAAGTATGTCATAAGACCAAATGGAAAGAGGTATTCGGAAATAAATTGTCAACTGGCATTGAACCTTCCACCCTAAATTGTTACTTCCTATTGATTAAGTATCCTCGGGATTGGGCTAGTTGATCCATTTCTATACACTAACATATTAAGCAGGCAAATAGAAAAGTTCAAGAAAATGTTCGACGAAATTCTGTTATACATAAGTCCACTGGCTTTTGAATCTTGAAAGCAAGGTTGTGACCAGAGAATGCCACTAAAAATGGAAGAACGGTATTTTATCCGAGCGCTGAAGAATAATGGTAAATATGTCGAGTAGAGACCATTGGAGTTGGAGATGGGAATTGCAGTATTATGGTATTGTACTGATAATGAGGAGAAAGCGCAGGAAGCGTCGGTCGGACTCCAAGTTCAATATCTATGGAACGGAAACAGGAGTCAGAAACATGCGTCGAAAAAATTAAAATAAAAAATAAAATAAAACAAAAAACCAGAACTAACCGGTGAAGGTGAATTGTGGACCACGGAAACACTTCCAAACCACGAGGATGGAAGGCGGGCAGGTTACCAATAGCGTCACCAGGGAGATGATGGCCTCGGCGGATAACATGGTATGGTCTATACGATATAGTATATGTGAAAGCAGTGTGGTGGATAGATAAACAAGGGGGTGTAAAGGTAGAAGTATCGACAAGGGACAAAGGATGCAGAGTAATAGGCTCCCCGCGTAGAGGAATTGTTTTGTGGTTTTGCGGGAGTATTAGAAACGCTGATTATGTACTATACAGTGTCTATGAGTTGAGGGAAAAAGGTATCTAGTATAAGGGTATGAGATGAGGTATGACGTCCTGTGCACTAAAGGTCCGACGTCCGTGCCTGGCCGTACCGGATATGACCATACGAATACGCATCATACACAGCCGTATTTCCGATCCATCTCAAGCCACAGCACTCACTAGCCACAGTCAATACGCCACGTCAACCAGCCACACCTTATGGAGCTTTCACCATTGAAGAGGGTTGTTTTGGTACCTGCAACTTGGAATGTTGTACATAGTACTTCAACCTCCCACAAACACCTCCTTGGGTGTATAACATTGAAGATAGATCCTACTAGGTCGCACCAGACGAAACATTCTAACAAGCAGTCACACTATCTCGTGTCCCATGACAATATTTAGAGAATCAGAGCTCGTATTGCCCTAAAGCGTTTGGGTTAAAGTATCTAAAGTTTATACTAACTAGTACTTGTGTACCTCCTAAGTATGTACGTACTCCGTACTCCGTATATACCTCACCTCTGTACAGAGTACGGAGGAGATACATGAAATTAGCTGGAATGCCGCGTATTGTATCGGTATTGTAAATGGAGTAATTCCACATTGTCCGGATCCTCGTGTTCGTCCGCCGATCTACCGCGAGCGAGAGCGGAGCCTCAATCTTATTGACAGCCTTGTGGGGTCCAAACTGTAGGAGGTCACGCCATTTGATCTAATCCCCAGTTGTCCAACTACGCACCCTTCGAATATTGAATAAGCTTAGGGAGACCTGGAGAAGGCGATGGACATGACGCAAGCAGTTGTCAGTACTACACGGCGCCAAACCAAGCGAAAGAGATCATCAACAGGTTGCCGCACCTGTCGGTAAGATTGAGATGAACTGGGCTCCCTGAGATCGTCAGGCCTTGTCTAATTCTCAAAACAGATCGCGCCATGTCAAATGTGATGAATTCCCCGACACCTGCAGAAATTGCAGCTCCACCGGTCGCATTTGTGAGGGGTACGATATGCATCGATTAACTTATGCACGGTCCACACTATCCCTTCCTATTGTTGGAAGTCATATATGCCGCGCACTAAACACAGATGAAAGACGATACTTTTCATATTTCCAACACCATGTTATCGCAAACTTCGTTGCCTTTTTTGACTGGCAGCTATGGCAACGGCTAGTCTTGCAGATGGTAGACGCAGAACCGGCAGTTTATCATGCGGTTAACATGTTAGCTGCCATCCATGAGGACTCAGTAGCCAGCAAAATGCAGCTGACCGGCACACGCCTGGATGACCCTCGACATTTGTTTGCTCTGGAACAGTCGACCCGATCTTTGGCACTTTTGCGTAAGCGCGGCTGGTCCCACGACCCTCAACTACGGGAGGTTACTTTAATGTGTTGCCTGCTTTTTACCTTGTCTGAATTCCTGTTGGGAAATTATACCATTGCCTTCCAACATCTGCGTGGTGGAATTCGCATCCTGAATGAGGAACAGCAGGTGGAGCCTAGCGGTAAGGAGCAGGATCTAGTGGAGGCTTTTAGACGATTAGATATTATGGGCGCGCATTATGGGATAGGGCCGTACATGACCAGCAACATGCGTCTCGAGGAACAGGGGATGTGGAACTGCATGCCAGAAAAGTTCAAGAACCTCACAGAGGCCCTACAAGCTGTCAGACACGTGATGGGCATCGAGGTTCCCTGGGTGACAAAATGCTGGTCACTCTCCGAGGCCGAAATCCTAGCCAACTTTGAACAGTTGTGTCAGAAGCAACGGGCAATCTTGGCAGCGTTTGACGAATTTGCCGAAAAGTTCGAAATGTTGTGCCAAAATAAATACTCCACACTCAGCCCGAAAGAACAACGAGGAGCGGATCTCCTTCGACTGCAATATCTCTCCCAAACCCTGACTGTCAAGATCTGTCTGACGCATGGGCCAGTTCCGGAGTATTTGACGCCTGAGTTTGTGACCCTCCTTGCCGCCCACAAAGCGTTTATCCACAAGTCACCCGAGCGGCCCTCGATATTCCTGGATATTGGCATCATTTCCGGGCTGTATTGTGTATCGAATAGATGTCCAGACCACCGAGTCCGTCTGCAAGCCATCGAAGTCTTGCAGTCGTGGCCACACTTTCAGGGCATGATGAATTCTAACCTTGTGTCTGCGATAGCAATAGTAAGGATGCAATCAGAATCGGGCCAGTGCTGTCAGCAAGAAACAACGCCTATCTCCTTTGACACGGAACAAAGTCTCACTCGTTTGTTATTCGATACATTGACCTCTACTCAGCAAGCCAGCTGCTGGCCATCGATACAATATGGTAACGCCCTGCAGGGTACGACGCGGGGTGCGAAGACGGAAAACGGCTTGTTGACAACAGTCCCGCAATGACTCGCAAGACAATACTATTGGTCTTTCGAAGTTTTGCCGGTTGTGTTGTTTCAAGTTTGCAAACCAAACAGGCGCATCTATTCCTATACTCGCAGTGATGCCGAGAGATATGTTCATCATCAGTATACCCTCAAAGATATATTCACAACAAGGATGGTCCTCGCAGATACGTAGACTAAGTCAACGAGCCAAGAGTTGTCTGTCTTCTTTTCCTTTCTCTTATTTTCTGTTTCTTCCAGGGATTGCTTGGAAATTAGTAACCAGAAAGGCTCTGCCACCCCTTTTATACGTTCGCCTTGCTACATGCAACACATTTCCCAGATTCTCGTAGCGCGTCCTTTCCCACCTTACCACTGTCAATTTCATATATACCGAGGAAAGGTGTTGTATTATCGATTACCTCGCAGCAATAAAGACCTTCTTGTTGCGGGGATTCCCTCGGCCTGGTCAGTCTAGCTTTAAGGCCTTACCGTAGAGCGACTAGTCTAGAGGTAAAGAGTCGCGTTTATGACGGAAAGAAGACGCATGTGAAAATCACAAGGCCCACGAGGGCCCAGCAGAATATCAGAACGTAGTAACCAGTGCGTCGCGACAAAATAACACCGACAGAATCAAGAGGACCAAGGCAAGGTTGTGGTCAACGGCCCATAGTAGCTTCGGCGACAATACCCAATTAACAAGGATATCCCTGAGGAAAAGGACAACTGTCGTAGCAGCCGTTAAATCCAGAATCACTCTCGGGGTCTAACACTAAGGTCATCAAAATGGGTTGCCCCAGGGAGCCAACGGAGAATCGCGTTTCAAGTCGATGTTGGTCGAACCGGGGATGCGAAGACAGGCTGGAGGATTCTCGCAAGGCAGGGCAATAAACCGAGTCCTTACATAAGTCTCCACATAGCTCAGGCGGTTGGAGTAGTATATGCTGGATGACGTAGAGCTCCTGAGCTATGTGCTGGTTTCGGGGCGAAGTTGTGCAGTGGGCCCGTTGATCTTTATGTAATGAATTCAGTTAGACCGCCGATGTGGTGAGCTGATCAGTCACATCACGATGTGGAATGTGGGTATCCCTTCGTATTCATAAATCGGGTATGGAGTAGTAGAAGACCAAAGCTGGGTCAAAATTGTATTAGTGTGCATAATTCCCTCTTGTGCCTACTGGTAATGGAGCTTAGATCATGTTAGGGCATCTCTGGAACACCATCCGGATCTCGCCCCCATAGAGATCTGCAGGACCAACAAAAACAAAGCTTTTTAGACAGCTTGATTGACCAAGATGTCTTGGACCCCAAGCTGTGTCATGTCTCGGCTATACATCAACCGAACGATGCTCTTCCTGACTCGACGTAGATCGAGCAAGGTTTGAAATCGATCGCAAATATTAGATTTCCGCGTGTTCACTGTGGGTCATCGGGGTTTGGGGCCCCATTTCTGTTTGAATGCTACTGAACATCCTTCCATGTTGGGTAATGGTACAGCCTCATGTCCGCCGTGATCCGATATACTTCAGGTCGATGCGGGACCCTGCAGCAAGGGATGGCTAACTGGTGACTGCATTACGAAATGAATGCTTAGTACGTTTCTGGATATAATGAATTGTGCGCAAGTGATAGTAAGCATGGCCGGTTCTGCTGTGGCCTGAGAGAAATAGAAATGGTCACTAACACAAGATTGGAAAAGGAATACTTCTCCAATGAGGATAGAGTCATGGATATCGACTCGGGCGAAGTAAATGTGGGAATCATCCGATATCCGACGAGATATCTCCTGCCTGTATAGGAAGGGAACTGCATCGGAGTCAATTCACCTCCGTGATGTGGCAGTAATGTGGATAGTCGCCTGCATCAATCTCGCCCTTACATCAAATCATCCTCAACGAGGGCAAGAAGCTTCAATGCGCGAGAGCGCTTGGAGGTCTCCACGGTCAGATTGGAGTCACTTCCACCAGATGCGCAACGTAATCCTCCCTCTCGAACCGAGGACAATGACCTCCCATGTGTATTATAAAAGGATGGCAATTCCCCGGTTCTGAATCTCATAGCAATCAGATCCCAAGACATCCAGCACTCGCAATCACCACACCACAAACCACAACACTCTCAAATCTATCACAATGCAATTCACTACTCTCATCAACGTCGCACTCTTTGTGACTGGCAGCCTTGGCTATGCCAACAAGTAAGCTTTCCCTTATACATTCTCTGGCCGAACTTGCTAACGGGAACTGCCCATAAAGCTGCAAAGGCTCGAGCAACTCTCCTAGCATCACCGATTGCCAGGAGGCTATCCGAAGGATTGACGAGGGTAAAGACTACGGTGATGGGTCTGAATTCTCGGTTGGAAACTGCTACATGGTCTATGCCACCAACGGTGCCGGAGAACACAAGCTCGACGGCAAGACCATTCGTAACACCGCACAATCGATCCTGGACTCCTGTGGCCACCACAAGGGAAGCTACGGCACCAACAACGACTGCGACTCTTGCCACGTCACCATCAACTATAGAGCCCCTTAGAGGTTCTAGGAAAGCATTGGACGACGTTTCTGTGAACCTGGCTATTTTACGGCAGGTGGAACTTGCTATGGAAAGGAAAAGGCGGGCGGATGAGTTGTTGGAGAACTTTGTTGACCCAGCTGGGTTTTACTACTTGCACATATACAGCTAGTCAGACAGACAACGCAGATATGAACGTCACCAATTGACGATGTTTCATTGACTTACCATTGATACTACTGATGCGTATACCTTTCCTGCGGCATCCGATACCAAGTTAGATATACCGCCTGTAATTCTAGTCCGCCTATCCAGTTGGGGGCGTTGGACCGTGTTGATCGCAATATAGAGATTTTGTGTGATTTCAGACCTCTCAAAAGCCCATTTTTGTAGAGAAATTCACTCATCTACCCTACCCAATTCAATGCTCTGAATAATTGGCAAACTCGGCAGACTTAGGAAAGCATTATTGAAAATATTTCATACGTTCAACACCCCAGAGAAGTCAAATACTAACTGACTATAGTAAGTTGCTATCCGACCTTGTGAATCAAATCAGGGAGAGCTCCTGAAGTTCAATTCTACCACTAGTTTGGGGTAAGGACATTGTCATCATTTATTGTCTACTAATCTACACTGTAACACAGCCCGTAGTCACAAAGTATACAAGAATCACAAGTTACATTTACAAAGATCCAGTAAGACAAACTGGCCGAAACATAAGGGCAGGAGGTATTCATTCACGACATCATAGATACAGAACCCACACAGACTTTATAAAATCCCCGAAAGCTTTTAGCCCTATCAGACAAATCCTAAAAAGCATAAAAATTGGTCCAAGTGGTACAGTTAAGTATATAGTTTACTTTAAATATGCTGCCTGATATCCTCGCCCAAGTTTCTTCCGGCATTTAGTATCTGTTGAACCTCAAGATACCCACTTCGAGCAGCATAGCTCATTGGAGTGCGGCAATAAAGGTCACAACAACTGGGGACTGAGCCCATATCCAACAGAAACTCTACCATTTTCACCGAGCCGCACCTGGCCGCGTAGTGCAAAAGAGTTCCTAGACCACTTCGTTCATTTATTAGATAATTTGGTAAATCGACGTCTAATAACTTGTTGATTTACAACTTATTATATCCTGGGTCTTGGTTATAGATAAATTGTAAAACTACAAAACTTCCATTTCGCATCGCAGCGTAATGTAAAAGCTACCCATGATAAATTTAACCTCCTTTACTAAATAATAATTGAATACTCTCAAGAAATGCATCTCTAACAACGTAAGAGAGCGATATACAATCACGAATACAGCATATCCTGTTAAGATCCGCGCCGTGATTCAGAAACCATTCAAGGAGTTTCTTATCTTCAAAGGTATAGCTAGTAGAGCTATCAGCCGAGCCAAACGATAACAGGATTGCTGTAGGACTTACACTAATGCTAATAGGATGAAATCATTTATATCTATGTTGATATCCAAGCCATGAGACACAAACAACTCAAGAATCGCGTAATCCCTGTTTTGTGTCGCAAGAACAAAGTACTCAACGGTAGCTGGGATGCCGTTGTCTAGATGTTTCTTAGTTTTGGGGCCGTTTCTGGCCTCCATGGCAAGCCTCAGCTCTTTGTGTAGATATGTCATGGTGTCTGGTTGGACTGCGTTGATAAATACGGCAGACCCCAGGTTTAAATGGCAGCCTGTATTTGAATCACGTGTTCATCTGACATATCTACCATCGCGTTTTGGACGAGCTTTGGTGGACGGAGAGGCAGTTGACGTGAAGATGAGCGCGGTTGGTTTGGTTTCATTTGTTGGCTCTGGAGTGAAAGCGATCGGTACCTAAAATTTGAACAGCTGTATGGCAGTCATGGCAACGTCGAAGCGTGCTATGTTGGCGCATATTCCTCCGCTGCCTGGACCTACGACAGAGCCCGAATGCATCAAGCGTAGTGGATGGTGCGATACTGTGTTGTTGTAACTCCAACACCATCGCTCGAGAGGCATTCTACCCTGCCAGCTGTTGTGGTTGCATCCACGATATATCAGCAGGATACTCGCCCAAGGGAGGAAATATCAACGGAAGATTGGCACAAAAGTCACAATTTCTACTCTTCTAAGTGGAGCATTCTCTCACAGGCTGTTGAATGTTTTATGCTGGACATTTGAGACAAACAATAATACACACAAAATCCTGGCCTTCCTCTCACCTTCTACGTCAAGACCTGCAGATTGAAATTGCATAGTACAGCGAGTCAGTCTGCAGGACACCAGATTTGTACCACTATACCCACATGGACCAAGGGATTATCATGAAAAACATACCATTTTCGGCTATTAGTCCTCAGGCCCTTGTTAATAAAGATTATCAAGGCTTTCGCAAAGCTTTCGGCGACTTTCCGATCCCTATATTACTCCAGGAGCACTGGTCTATATATTGTTAGCGGAATCCTGACCCGGACCCCACCCGTGTCTGACTTTTGTAATTTAATCTGAAACTAGATTAACCACTGTAGGTAAAAGACAAGTGAACTGTATAAATTCATATGAGTCGGAACTGAAGCTTGAAGATCCATTGCCCCTTAGGCTAGGGAGCAACCTAAAATGATTGAAGGAATATTAGGGGCGAATGGGAGAAACTCAAATTGCGTATCACAAGATCAACGGTCAAATAGGTTTGACATTGATAATCACATTATTATTTGATGCGCGAACATATCTAGTAGTGGATGTACACTGCTATCGTAGGTTCTCATATTGCGCGTATTGAACCTGGAATCAGTCCCCACAGGCAGGAGTTTTCTGTACCATCATCCCATCCCAGAATGAACTTGGCAAAAGAAAAGAAAATAGAAGTACTCGTGAAGAACGAAGAGCAAAGGAAAAAATAAAAAATAAAAATAAAATGGAAGATGGAAAAGGGCAAAGGGCAAAGGGCAAAGAAAGGAAACTCCGGCTGCAAATCCCGAAAGCTTTTCAGCTGGACTTGCCAATCGCTATAATACGGAGTAGAGAAACGAAGCCAATGGGTACACACGCCGTTGATCATTTTCTCCACTGTCATCGTGGCTAACATGGCAGCAGGTATCCTATGGATCGACAGGATGAGAGTGGAGCCCTGAACCAGGGTGGACGCAAACAATTTCATCGCCATAGAAGACGCTAGGAGTAGACAGTGAGTGGTTCCCTATACACGAAGAGGGTGAAAAAGCAGCCCGGTGAAATTTGTTACATGCTGGGGAGCCATCCAAAAGAACTGGCCTACCGTGAGCATGGGTACAGAAAATCCAGTGGTTCTCAGCCACATTTCCGTTGCGCTTCCCTAAAATTGCATTGCTTTGGGAGTAGTATTGGCGACTATGGTAATATTAGGGCAAATATTCATGATAAGGCATTTTATCCAATATGCACTCGCTGGTCAGGGTAGAGGTTAGGGTTCCAAGGGAAGGATAGATTGCAGGCTGAGTACACGCATCGCCATACTTACTGGTCCACGAGCCATGGCAAGTGGAAGTCTAACAAAGACTAAGTGTAGTATATAACAGGGCCAAGGGCAGGTCTTTTGAAACACAAGAATGGGCGTGTAAAGGTCATGGGCGATCAAACTGTGTTTTACCCTGGCCTGTGCTCGTCTACACTGCCGTTTCCATCTGGCTGGGAACTCTGTGTGATTATCCATAACTCTAATCTGAGACTGAAAAGTTGGCATGCTGAGACTACGAGATCCTGCAGGAGCCGAAATTTGTGTCAAGTGGAATTGGGCTGGCGGTTTATCCTATCATGTTGGTGACCATTCGACCCACCAGGAAAGTTCCCAAGCAGAAATGCCTTAGGGTTGGGTATCGTAGCCAATCAGGGTCACGGATTTGTTAAGCTTCGGCGCCATCAGCAGATCATTTTCAACTCCAACGAACGGATTGTCCAAGCTTAATTACCCTGGAGGTACTCCGGAGTATATTCCAGGCCTTTTGCTTGACAAGGACCTTCGAACCGTGTCGTATCATTTTCCTCCGTGGGTATCGTTTGCGCGTGAGAAGCTGAATAAATTATCAAGTTAGCTAACCAAATCCGTCTTCCCGACGGATCCCGACTCGGCCTTACATTCTGACATAGGTCTAGAACGTGCGCTATAGGGAGGACTATAGACTAGTTCTCTTAGCTTACACCATCATATGGCAGCGATCTTCGCTTCATTTGACTAGTCGGTCGATCGCCTGGCGTTTCAAAACCAGTCTCAGACACAGAGGAGGCACGAAGAAAAGGTTCTCGTGTTGATTATTATGTCCCCATTTGAAATGAGGGATTATAGAACGAGCCATCTCCTATCAATCGACTATTGTGAATGTCGCCTATCGGGCGAAGGAAGGTTTGCAGCCTCCAGCGTTATTCCGATGTCTCTCAAAAGTGGATCTTTCTCCACCGAGTTCTGGTTGATATGTCTACTGAATATAGTTGGGGATCATGACGTCGCTGACTGTACCAAACAGACAGGATTGACAAAAGTACAGCATATATTTAACTGTAACAACGGTCTGTAGATGCCGGCCACACTATGTAGACATATCACGCCCTCCAACACCCCACCCTTCTTCGCGCCTCTTGTGTCCTTTTATTACTTTAATGTTGCTCCACTGCCTGTGGCGGGCCTGAAGAATTTTTCTGGCATTGACCACAATGCCTGGGGGTATACGGCCTCCACCTGAAGTAATGCTATCGTGGCCGAAACCAAATGTGATCGACCCGGAGTCGCATGGACCATCAAGTATTGTCCTCGCATCCGTTTTTGGCGGCATTGCGTTGGTGACGGTTGGAGTTCGACTTTGGGCGAGGTGCGTTATCCAGCGTCGAGGCGGTTGGGATGACTTCTATGCTGGATTGGCTGTGGTATTTGCATTAACTGTGTACACGATTATCGTCAAATAGCTAACTGTTTAGGTCCCCGTTCTCGGATTAGCAGTTGCATTTGTCCTCAGTGCGCTCTTCACCAGCCGTCGCAGAAGCAGCATAAACTGACGCTAACAGGCTCGGAAGTCTACGGCGCAAACCTCCACACATGGGACAATACACTTCCCAAGCTTCTCGCCCAACGCCAGCTGGCACTGGCAATGGAGATGCTCTATGTGATCGGCTCTGGACTAGTGCGAACCTCTGTTCTCCTCTTCTACCGTCGAATGGGCTTCCGGTCGATATCGCGAGGTTTCATGCTCGCTACGTGGATCAGCATATATTCCGTCGTCGGATCCAGTGTTGCGTTTCTCGCGGTTATCTTCGGGTCATGCCAGCCAATCCACGCCTACTGGAACCAGATTGATCCGTTATGGAGGGAATCGCATACATGGAAGTGCTACAATGAAGCGGCACATATCATCGTCGCGACAGTTGTCGCGCTTATCCAAGATGCAGTTGTGACTACGCTTCCGGCGATCTTGTGCTGGAACCTGCGGATCTCGTTCCGTGAGAAGATCGCCCTTGGTTCCATATTCGTCGTGGGGTACTTGACCCCCGTTATTGCTGGAATAAGACTCTACTTCATTGTTCTATTGTATTATTTCTCCTATGATGCGTCCAGGACTAGTTGGTATTGTTGGATGCTGGCCATGATGGAATTGCTTATCGCAATTACATGTTCGAGTTTACCAGCTGCCCGGGTCTTTTGCAACCAGTACAAGTCTTATGTTAATTTTGTGGGCACCGCAAAAGGGATTAAGTCGGTTTTCAGCAGAAGTATATCCCGAAAGTCCATCTCCGCCGAACGGTCGAGGAGAGCCTCCTCGAGCACTGTCAAGTTGACCGAGCCGGCCCATTCCAAAGTTTCCAACACGTTTACAGATGAAGGGCCTGACATAGAGCTGGGTAGAGTGCAGAAGATGCCTGTATAGTAAAACTATGTGTACACACTGCCCTATGAGGATCGCCTCTGCAGACACTAAATCAGAGCATTCGCTGGTACGAATGATACTTGTTTCGCATTCTATAGCTGGGCGCTTGTATTGATAGACTGGGATGGGTTTAACCATACAGAGTAGCTCCAGAAAATTTGTAGGTGGGAATTAGGCGTTCAGGATAATATTGAGGTGGCTATCTATATAGAAGAGATTATTTCCTAACCCTACATCCGTGGCCATAACCACCTTTTAGAAAGTTTACAGACCGCCTGCTATTGATGCAAGGGGTGCATGTTAATCATGCGCTGCAACATAGATCGAGCTGTACAGATGCCCAAACAAGATCAAAGCCTCCTACTACCTAGCGTCTGACCCACAATAGAGTGGACCATAATATTGCATTCCGAAGGCCTCGCTAGATGTTGAGTGGCAACTTTTGTCGATCCTTCTTCTGCCTATTTGCGTCAATCGCTGCAATTCGACCACAATGCAGAAGAAATTCGAGCAACCGGTGTTTTGTTTAACCATCTCAATCCAGACTACTCTTCAGTATTGAGAATGTGTCAAATTTCGAAGGGAATTACATGTATATAAGCTGTTTGTTAGATACATGTGGCCCACGTAAGATATACATGCCATACGCCTCGGTTCTCCAGCAGTTCATAGTATGTACAACGTACAACTAGAAAACTTTGTCATCCTTAAACCCGACACAGAGCGCCATACACCGTATCCTCCAGTGGAACCTCCCTCCACTCCTCGCTTCCCACGCAGGTAGGGCAGTAGAACACATGGTCCGGGTCGTATTCATCCTTTATGGCCCGAAGTCGAGGATAATTGTCACCGAAAAAATCAGTTTGCCACCAACGATTGTGTCGGTCGCCATCATTCATGTAGCTGCCCATATTCGGGGCCAACGCCCTCAATGCATCGGTCTTTCGGTAAGTGGTATCATGCTGCATCCTTTTCAATGACATGTCGTCTGCATCTTCCGGCAAGATCGACGTTGGGATAGCAAGAAGATAAGCGTTGCGCCAGGCGGGATGGACACCTACGTAGCGATCTGTGGAAGGATTAGTGGGGCTATTAAGGACCTTTCCTCCACCGACGAGAAAAAGCATGGTCCATATGGTTGCCTTTTGCGGAACATCAGGGGAGTTTGTGGACGTGACACGGAGCATCTCTTTAAGCTGTGCTGTGTCGCCCGTGAGAGACGCCTTGTCGAGAAGGCGCGACGTGAGCGCCATCTTGCTAAATCCAACCTGTTGCTCAGCCCTTGTCGCGGCAGTATAATAGTCCCCAAACGAGGAATAACGCTCCCAACTCTCCTGGATCATGATCCCAGAGCCATTGTATTTCCGTAGCCGTTGCATAAGCGTTGCATGGACAAATCGTTGCGCTTCTTCCAAGGCATCATCGCTGTCGTCCAGCTTCGCGAAGACATGAGAATAGCCACCGTTCTCCATGACTGGTATCGGGGCTGTCGCAATTGGAGAATCTATTTTGTCAATCCCCCATCCGCCATACCCTGAAAAGCCGCCGTCAGATAAGGTGGGATATGCGGAAAGGATTTCCGCAACCACGTCGATAAGCACCATAGTGGTAGCTAATGGGTCTTTGCGGCTGGGTAATGGGTAGATAATGAGAGTATGTGTAATGGCTGGACGGGATGGATGCGCCTTCAGCGTGGCTGACACTACTACTCCGTATGTTCCACCACCACCTCCACGCAGGGCGAAGAAGAGATCTCTATTCTCGCAGGCATTGGCAGTTACGAGCTCGCCAGATGCTAGGATGACCTTCAGTTCTAGGACTTGGTCGACAGCAAGGCCGAAGTCGCGACTGGCGGGAGAGTGCCCTCCACCTTGGAGATAGCCGCCCAGCACGCCGACCGTCTTACAATACTAGGTTAGCTACGAGCTCCTTCAATGAATGATGAACTCACTTACTGGATCCTGACCACCGACAACTATCAAATCTCGCTCAAAGGCAGCAGCGTAGAGGTCACCCCAGAGATAGCCTCCTCGAACAGTGAAGGCGCTTCCTGTCCAGCTAGTGTGTTGGCACTGGCTGGGAGACTGGTATTCCTCATGGTATTCAAGACCCTCTTGGATATACTTGAGCCATATCTGTAAGCTGCCATATCCTTGTGACCTGTGTGTGCTTGAGTGTTAGCAGCAATGCTTCATAGATAGTTTCTCCCATATGGCGTTGTGCATACCGCCCAAGCAGGTCGTGACCAGTATTCCTTATAACAAGTCGCAGGTTATGCGTCTTGGCAAATTGGATTCCTTCCGCCACATCTTCAGGCTCTGTGGCATTGATGGTATACACAGGCGCTGGGCCGAGGTCACATTCAGTCTGTGGTGTGCCTGTCGGTGTCGACACAACAGGACAGGCGTAGTCAAGTGGATAACAATATCCTGTCGGCTGAAGGGATTGAAAGGTTGAATTCGACCATTGATCGACAATAGTATCACACAGCTTCTGGTCATCCTCATCTCCATAGTAGCAAGGTTCAGCAACGGGTGTGTTTCGTATCAGCTTGCCCGAGACAGCGTCGTTCAATTCGGCCCAATCGGTCAGCGTGGGCCAGCATTCTTCATTCGGGGCCTGTGAAGAATGACATATCAGCAAAGCTTAATGAAAGGTAAAGATAAAAGCAAACTCACACATTTGCAGTCTTCACGAGCAGCACTCTGCCCAACCAGAGCTATAAGCCCAAGGGCTACTAAGGACACAGTTAATGCCATTGGTAAGAGCAAGGTTCACACCCTACCATACTCGAGGCAGAGGTCCACGTAGAAATACAAGCTCCCAATCACGGCGGTCAAGGAGAGCGGTATCACGAGGCCTCGTCATCATGGTCCTGATGCATATAAGCACAATGAAAGCTACCAGCCTGTGCTGTATAACGGGCTTGCATATCGACGTGTTCGTGGTGCTGCAGCTGCGGGCGCCGTTGCGATCCACCGATTGGCAGATCCTCGCGGCGGGCAGGAGATCCAATATGCAAGATATCCACGCTAAAAAGCAATAAATGCAGCCGCGCGTTTTTAGTATCCCCGATGGATCATCCGAGGATCGCCAGGCACACATGTGACTGGTGGATTCGTGTGCCGTGCCCAACAATCCAGCATTAGGGCGTGTGGATGGCTTTCTTGGCGGTGGTTATGGATATCTTGCTGGAGCGGTGCGGCAAACTGTACTTATTCACAAATGTCAGCAGGTCCTGCAATTTTTCTTTCTGGGAAGCAATGGCGGTCTCAATAGCTTAACCAAAATTAGACCCCCGGAGTTGATAACTATGATACGTTCCTTCTTTGGTGGTACGACAGCTCGATATTACGGTCCGGTTCTCGGCCTACGCTGGGCCTAACATGATTGAATAGATGTTCAATTGCAATACCTTCAGTGTGAGCTTGGAGCCTGGGGCATAATAGTATAGTAGAATACCTTATGTTTCATTTCTCGTAGAGAACAGCAAAGGCAGCAAAAATAACCTCCCAGTGTCCCCGTTGTAAGTATAACGCAATGGTAAAGCCCCCAGAGTGATATCAACTTTGATTGGAGGTTGACAAAGAGATGGGCGCACACTCAGGGTGCCTTTATAGGGGATTCACAGCACTATTCATGGGTCCTAGTAGATAATTGGCGAGCAAAGCTGCACAGAGCCAGAGTCTCATTCGTCATCGTCGTCATCGTCATCATCGTCGTCCTCAAACCAACCCTCTACGATCTTATTGACATCATAGAAAGGGAAACCCATCTCTTCCCTCTGCGCATTGATCCTCTCATATCGCTCCCGTACCATGTCGAGGATCTCGCGTTTCATTTCTGCATATCCCCCGTCACATTTAGCATCGCCTCTATGAAGCCTATCTGTATAGTATTCTATTACTCTCAACGCGTCTTTGTCGTCCATGGCAAAATTGTAACCCAGGCAGACGGGACAGGCCTGATCCACACCACACCCACCCCAAAGGTCTGGAAACAGGCGGGCAGGGCCACAACCGGGACAATAATAATGGAGGCCATCACAAAACGGGCACTCACCACCCCAGTAGTTCATCAGCACATCGCTATGTAAGAAGGCTTAGCATACTAGCGTCCTTCCAGGCTCACACAGAAGGGAGCAGATAGACATACGTACCGTCCATGGGGGTTCACGCGGTATTCCACCTGACAGTCCTCAGGGAACTGAGCCACATACGCACTGAGTGGACGCGCGGAAGCGTCAACGCTTGCTTCACTCGCAGTGTCATCGTCATCTGATGTATCATCGCCTTCCCCCTTGTTAAAATAGACGTCTGGGCCGGACACTCTACAGTATCCCGGTTTTTCAGATAGTGTACTCCCACTTGTCGCACGGTGATTCGTGACGTTTTGGGATTTGAGCTTCGGCTGCCAGGGGATAATTCGACAAGGAGCATGGCGGGCTTTTGCCCCGGAGCGAAAAGAAGGATAAGGTCGCCCGCAAAAA